ACCTAACCTCCTAAAACTCAAAATTACAGTACACAAGCTAAAATTGTCTTAAAAAAAATAATAAAAAAAAAATAAATAGTATATTTCCTAACAAGTGCGCAAAGTAAGTCTTGTTCGCACGCTGGCTGCAGTTGACCGAACGACGCGGAGTCAGGAACAGTATTTTTTCTACGAGCGACAAGATTTATAAAAATAAAAAATTAGACAATAAATTTAAAAAAAAAAAAGTTCAAAACAGAATACTCAGAAGCAACTAACAAAAACCAATTATTCATTTCATTATTGTAAACGATATTGAAAAATTTTTGGGACCACCTTTGGACTCATGCAGGAGCTGGCGGTTTTATCTAAAATATGTTAAATATGTTCTGGTATTTCCTCGTTCTCTTATGCTTCAATTTTTTTGCTAGTATCTAGGCTTAGGCTCACAATGTAGATAAAATCATAGCCAAAAAAAAGATGATAAATTAATTTGACACTGACGTGACACTGACCAATAAACACTGTCAGTAAATTTCATGCAATCATTTAAGGTCTGTTTCCACAGAAATCACAAACCAGTCAGAGCGAATTTCATTGGTTGAAAATAGTTAGGAAACTGGTTGTTGGCGATTTGAACCAATTAAAAACGCTGTAACTGGGTTTGTGATTTCTGTGGAAATTTCCCTTGTGCATATTTAACTGGAAATTTACCTCGTAATTTTCAAAAATTGACAAGTGGAAATATCCCTGGTGAGAGGGATATTTCCGGGTGCAATTTCCAATGCGACAATGCCGCGCGGCGTCTGTCGGAAACCCACCTTTAGGTTGTCATTTTTGGCATTGAGACCAGCTTTTCCATTTAAAATGCATTGATGTCAGAAATCTGACAAAGTGTATATTTTTTGACCAACGCAATTTAAATGGGAAATATCAATAACAATCACCATCACAGAACACATCATCATAATTAAAATATTCGCCACAACTTATAATAAATAAACTTCAAACTCGGGAAATTTCCTATCAAAATATAACACGTGCATAAAATATTTCCTAAGGGAAATTTTTAAAAATTTGGTCTTTAGTCAATTTTTTTAAACAAAACCATTCGTGCATAGCGCCAAAGAAATAGTTATTTTCCTAACAAGTGCGCAAAGTGATACTTTCCCGCACGAAAAAGCAGTTAGACGAACGACGCGAAGCGGAGTTCGGATAGGCTTTGAGTGAGTAAGAGACACTTTGCGCAAGTGTTAGGAACAATATTTTTTCTACGAGTATCTCAAAAAAGTAGACTTTGAATTGTTAAAATATTAGAAAAATCAATCAAGTCAAAATCTTCAAAAATCGTTTGAAATCTATTGAAATTCCTCAGAATGTCTTTTGAATTGAATCCTTCTTCAGTTCAACTTTGCGCACGCAAATGAGTGTGCAAAGTGATTACTTTGCGCACGCGAGTAGAAAAAAAAAATTTCAGGCGCTATGCACTCATGATTTTGTCAAAAAATTGGCTTCAGACAAAAATTTCAAAAATTTCCGGAAATATTTTATGCACTAGTTATATTTCTACTGGAAATTTCCCTTGTGCATATTTAACTGGAAATTTACCTCGTAATTTTCAAAAATTGACAAGTGGAAATCTGTCAAAGTGCATATTTTTTGACAAACGCAATTTAAATGGGAAATATCAATAACAATCACCATCACAGAACACATCATCATAATTAAAATATTCGCCACAACTTATAATAAATAAACTTCAAACTCGGGAAATTTCCTATCAAAATATAACACGTGCATAAAATATTTCCTAAGGGAAATTTTTAAAAATTTGGTCTTTAGTCAATTTTTTTAAACAAAACCATTCGTGCATAGCGCCTAAGGCGCTATGCACTCATGATTTTGTCAAAAAATTGGCTTCAGACAAAATTTTCAAAAATTTCCGGAAATATTTTATGCACTAGTTATATTTCTACTGGAAATACACTATTAAGGGTATATGAATATTTTTACTGGTAATTTGTCAAAATTGAATGTTGTCAGCACTAGTGCGCAAAATTAATTCTTGTCCGCACTAGTGCGCAAAAGTGAATTTTGGGCTCTCAACTGCGTGTGCAAAGTACCTACTTTGCGCACGCTCGTAGAAAAAAGAATTTTGAACCTTATTAAACAAACAAATACACATATTCGTCGATCCAAAATCAGTAAAATTTCGAAGTTTTTATAAGTACATTTACACCTAAAAAAACCCAAATTCCACTCAAGTATTGCATAATGCATAAAATTCACTTACACTATACAAGGCTTTGGTAGTTACATGCTGTTTGACACACAAACGAAATGCTTTATAATTAGAGCATTCTTTACTTTGTTGCGGTAAATGATTGTACATTTTAATACTTTCATAAATAACCGAATTTTTCGTGAGTTGTAAATTTAGGGATTAGCAAGGGTACATTATTTTGTCGGAGGTTATAGTTACTCGCCTGAACAGAACCGGCATTCTTTTTATAGACAAGGCTCACCGATTCCAATATAAAAAGAGATGGCACTGTCATTATTCCCTCCTGTACAAACAACGGTTTACATGATTCTGTGCATTTTTTCTTGCACAAGTAACACACAGCCCTCTTCTGAAGCACAAACACTGCCTGGAGTGATTTTTTAGTGGAGTAGCCCCAGAAAGCTATACCATACCGGATGTGTGACTCCATTATAGAGAAATATGCATTTTTTGCAGTTGTTTTACCAAGCTCGTGCGCAATGGTCCTAATAATATAGCATGCACTAGCCAGTCTTCTATTCAAAATTTCAATATGGCCCTCAAACTTGAGGAGTGCATCAATATGCAGTCCCAAATATCTCACGGAGGGTTTGCTTTCGAGAGTTTCGTCCTGCAACTTAACATTTGTTATATTGCACTTAAATGTTAGGATGTTCGTTTTTTGTGTATTGAAGCAAAGTTTATTTGTATTGCACCATTTCTTTATCTCCAAAAGATCGGCTTCTATGGTTGCCTTGAACTGGTCTAAGCTCGGGCCCGTCATTTAGTCTGATTTAATCAGCATTTTGTTAAGTTGAGATTTCGAGAATATGTCTATACGTGGTATCAGCAGACATAGCCAAAATGTATAGGCAGGTATTAATCGAACCTGGCCAACACTCTTTGCAGAGAATATTGTGGAGGGAATCTGCATCTGAGCCTAACAAAACGTTTAACTTAAACACCGTTACCTATGATCAAGCATCTTCTTGTTTCTTGGCTGTTAGGTGTGTATTTCAGCTTGGAGTGTGGAAGCGACTTACCAGAAATTGCAAGTATCATAGAGACTTCATTTTATGTGGATGATTTTTTGTACTCCGTTGACTCTGTCGAAAAGGGAATCTTTGTTCGCCAGCATGTTTCAGAAGTTTTCGAAAGGGGTTGTTTTAAGCTACGTGCATGGATTTCAAATGAGCCCGAAATTCTCCAAGCAGTTAATCGGCAAAGTGAAGAATTTAATATCTTAGATTTTGAGCTACATCAGAATGCTAAAACATTGGGCTTATCGTGGTCGTGTGCTTCAGATGTACTGAGATTTAGAATAGGTGTTGCAGATAAGACGGAGAGGATAACTAAACGAACTGTTTTGTCCCACATAGCTCAGGTGTTCGATCCTTCAGGCCTGCTTGCCCCATGTACTGTTATAGCCAAAATTCTCTTGCAGAAGCTATGGTTGGAAAAATTGTCATGGGATGAATCGCTTCCTAGCGAAGTTGATGGAGTATGGCTATCAGAATTACCATTTCTGTTGTGTAAATATGTTCTGTAAATATTGAAAAGTGTGAGTTGCACGGTTTTTCCGACGCAAGCAATCAGGCATGTGGTGGTATTGTATATGTATGTTAGATCCATTGACGGCGAGGGAAATATTACAGTTCGATTGTTGTGTGCCAAAAGCAGAGGAAGTCATTTGAAATCGTTAACATAGCCGCGTTTGAAATTATGGGGAGCGTTAATATTAGAAAGGTTGGCTAACAAGGTGATTAACTCACTGCGGTTGAATATTTCTCGTTCTATATTTTGGTCGGATTCGACTAGTGTTGGGGTGGTTGAAAACACCTCTTAGTCTTAACTGGCTTGAAACGTTTGTCAGTAGCCCTGTCTCCGAAACACAGAGTTTGACTGAGGGTCAAGAGTGGAGGTATGTATCGACTAATCAAAATCCTGCTGATATCTTGTCTAGGGGCATTTTTCCTAATCAGATAGTGAATTCGTAATTATGGTGGAATGGTCCTCTATTTCTGAAGCAGAATGATAGTCGATGGCCTGAATCTATCGTCAAGATAGACTCCTTGCCTGAGCTTCGCCCGCTTAAGAGATTGTTTTCGTTTTTTTCAGCAGAATTCAATTCGTTTTTATTCAATGAATATTAAGATTTTTCCAGGTTGGTTCGAGTAATTGCTTGGTTACTGAGATTTTGGTCAAACAAACATCTTTCTACATCAGAGCTTCAGAATGCCTCTAAATATTTAGTAAAATTGTCACAAAGGGAGAGTTTCCCTGATGAATATGCTTGTTTGGAAGTGGGCGAAATTCTGAGCTCTAAAAGTAAAATTCTTAGTTTGAACCCGTTCCTTGATAGTAATGGTGTTATTCGTGTAGGTGGAAGATTGCGACACTCATGTTTTAAGCCTGATAAAAAAAGTGAAGTCCGCCAAATTTCACTTAAAGAGGGTAATGGGTAATGCACACTTAACTTATGAGGAATTCAGTACTCTGGTGGTACGGATTGAATCTATTTTGAATTCCCGCCCCTTTCCCACAATCTCATTCGATCCTGAAGATTACAATCCCCTCACTCCCAACCATTTTTTAATTGGAAAAACCCTGGTGGATTTGCCTTCAAGTATTCCAGCACATTCAGCAGATTAAACAACATTTTTGGCGCCGCTGGAATAAAGAATGTGCGACAGAAATGCAACAGAGAGTGAAGTGAAGCAGAAAAAGATCAATCAATATTACAGAGTTCAGTACTTACTGGTCCTTCCATACCAGCCTCAGGCACCCAATCTTTCCAGTACGATCGTCCGCCACGGCATCTCATATATTCAGTCGGCCACGAAACGTCGATCCTTCTTCCTAAGTTTATACAGTCGTATACTAAATTCGGATCTACAATCTATAAAAATGTAATTTACAAAAAAAAGTCAATTTTTATCATTTTCTTTCACGTACCTTCACACGAGATCCCACAAATTCATTTTCAGTCTGTTCAGTTGCATTATCACGAATTTCGCCTGATTTTTCCTCAGTACGACTTTGTCCTTCAGGTGGAGGAGTACGTTCATCTTTTTCTTTGAAAAGACCTGTGAGACTTACCAAAGTTGAGCTGGTAGGCTTTCCTACGGAGACTAGACTGCCACGATTACCACCTACAAAAAAAGCTTAATATTTCTTGTTTCGGAATATAAAATAGAATCTTACCTAAAGATGTTCTACTGAGACTAGACCCCCTTCCTATACTCCCAGCAGATCTAAAACTATCTGTAGATTGTCTTGGAGCTACAGGAAATGACAAAGGAGTCATAGCATAGACACCTTCGTGACCCATACTAACTTCTTCTCTGTTTGAAGCACCACTAGAACAACCTTCACCGCATCGTTTTCTTATCCTAAAGTCGCAAAATTATATATTTTACTCAACAACAATTTTTCTTGTTTAAACTAATAGATAATATTATTCATAGATAACGAATCATTCAGTAACTGCTTTTCTTAGGCATCCTGGTTTTAACGAGCATTTTGTTTTTATATATAAACTAATTCTAATTTTACCTTTTCTACCTCTTATAAAAAAAAAAACATTATGTAAAGTTTGGAATTACCTTCTAAATAAATCAAAAACATAATTTTTAATTTTCTTTAGACTGACTGAACTTCCAACTAAAGAACAATATTGCTCGTTCGTATCTGCATAGCTGGTAGTTAAAGGTGATACATAAATCGGGTAACCTATGGGTTGATCACAAGACGAGTTAATTATATTCCTTAAAGCTTGTTTGGCGTTTTGGATGCTACCTAAAAGCATAATTTGAATTATTGACATATTAATAATAATAGATAAAATGTACCTCTTTCTGGATTTCTATTTCTTAAATAAACTAATTCTTGTTGTTGGCCGGCCCACAATCCACGAACGCACTCTTTATTGATTTTGATGACTCGAAAGCTCAGGTATCTTTTATTTAGCATAATTATCTTGTATTCATCATTGCCTTCATCAAAGACGTGCCTGGAACAAACAAATATTTGAAAATAGATTTATTTGAATATTGAAAATATCGATACTAGATATAGATAGGTAAATTGTCGAAAAACTAAGGGCATTTTTTAAAAATTTAGAAAACTTTGCGATCGTTCTTTGCTAAGTTTAGAAAAACCTTCGTCTTCTCCAAGATTCTTAATTTCTTAGGCTCAAGCCCAAACATTACTCCCTTTTGATTATATTGCCATTGTTTTGTAAATCCCTATCACAATGATCTATTTGAGCATTTTTTATTCTCAATAATTATTTTCAGTTACATATGACAATATCGAAAATCAAATTTTTAGCAATCAGATTAATGAAATTAAGTGTTACTACCTCAAAGCCAACAAACTAGGTGTTCCACTCAACACTGCATTTCTCCACGCGGGATCGCCTTCATGACTTATCACCAACTCTTGTTCGTGTTTACAGATAGCGTCGTACAATGCAGGAAGTATTTCGTATTCGTCGGGAGTCATAAAGTGATCCTGGTGTAGTTTCAGTGACATACGTACAGCCGGGGCTACTACTGTTTTCAAGAGGTCCATGTCGGTGAACACCCATTCGTCTCGAGCACATGTTATACGAAAATCACCTAATGAATAAATAGATGAAGTTCCAGTCAATAATTCAAAACACTCAGATGCTTTACCTTTGAACAATGCATGTAACCCGTAAAGAAAAAACTCAACATTTGACACCATATTTTGGGAAACTGCCCCCAAAGTCCTTCTTCCTAATAAACTCAAAGCAAAACATAACAAAATAACACGTTGCTTTTTTGATACATTCCCACGTTTTTCTAGGCAATAATGAATCCATTCCCCTGAAAATATTAATCTTCAGTTATTTGTTTGCTATTTAAAAAAAAAATAATAAAAGTACCATGAATATGCAAAAACATAGACTTAGTCATTCCATTATGTTGAATATCATAATCCTCATCTATATTGTAATTAAAAACTGGGTCCAAGTCAACAAAATTAGGTTTCCAAATGGTGCGCAATGTTTTATTTATCACCTCTGAATTGAGCCACTCCTCTAACTTAGGTGAACGAATTGTATAGAAAATAATACTCTAAAAAAAAAGGTATAAGAAAAATAAATTCCAAAAAATTTACAATATATTACTTACTTTGACATAATAAGAAATCAAAACTTTCCTGAATTCAAAAACTTGTAGCATAGAGACTACACTGTTATCAGATATACTGTAACCTTCAAGAATATATTTCGAAGCTGTTACTTCCCATGCCAACCATCTTTGACCAAAAGCAGCGTTTACACTCAGCATATTTGGCAAGTGGCCAGTATCAAAACATAAAAACCCATCATTTTCTTCTACTCCTTCTGTAATGGCTTCGACCTCTCTCTGTTGGCAATAGGTGCCCCTAAACTCCAATCCTCGCATTTGGAAAGTTACTAAACCATTTCCCATTTCTATGATGTGTACGAGACAATTTAGGTAATCTGAGGCCATGACGAAAACATCACCCTGGCTAACTGTGCCCCATCTAACACAAATTCTAATTGAAAATAAAGTTCTAAGTGAATTGTTACATTACCTTCCCATTGCCAAGTCCCCATACAAGGAATGCTGCAAAGACCTGGTCAAATGCTCGTAAAATATTGAATTTAGATTATTATCGTCAGCTCCCAAGTTTCTATCCAAATGTGAGGACAATGGAGTATTACTAAAAGAAATTTATTACGTATTGAAAATTACAATATTAAAAACATATATATTTACCTATGGTCCACTCTTCTAGTGTTATAATCCCTTTCCCAAAACTTTACAGGTCTTACATAAGAAGTAAGAAAGATTGCACTACCCAAAAATGGATTTAAAGGTGTGGAAAATATGGCTGAAACAGCAGCCTGGGAAAATAACATTACAGAATGGGGCACAGAAAAAGGCTGAGCAAAAGCATGAAAAGCAGAGCCCCAAGTGATTTGCCAGGGGGCTATGTAAGTTATCACAAATTTAATCTGAAATAATAATTACATATTTTTTATGTATAGAAAATAAGTATTTAGTTTACACACCTTCAAAAGGAACTCGTACATTTTGTAATAGGCAATGCTAACGAAAAAATATGAAACCAAAAATGTTTCATCTAAATGTCTAAAATCATACTTGCAAATTAAAGCACTAAAAATCACTATTAAGTACTGACAATTTTGATCAGAGTAACCATTACGTAGGAACTTCATGCCGCATATACATGTAATAAAAGAACCTGGAAACCAATGTTTTGAAGAGATTCTAAGATAGAAAATATTATAGGTACTCACCTAAAAGTGTGCCATATTTGGCAGCAATTTTTGGAGCATCTTCCGTTACAACTGATACAACCATTAAAGGGTACAGGATGTTTCTTTCAAAAAAACACAAGTACACATAAACCTAAATAAAAACCAATGAAATATAATTCAAACGAACACCAAAAAGTCCTACTTGTTCGAACCACATAATTTTAGCAGCACCTCTAATTTGATACTGCAAATACTCGTGACTTCGTAAAATAGGCCTGGAAATGCACATCCAAGGCAATTGCTTACGAAACTGTGGTATGAGATAGTGCAGAATGAAACCAGTTCCTGCGGCTATGGACCATAGTACTGGACAAAGTTCTGGACGAAGTACTGTGAAAACTGTACTGGCATGAAGGGCGAAAACCAGAATTCCTAATAATAAAGATTTTTTGGGTATTATATAAATTTTTCAGAGCGGATAATGTTTACCAATGACAGTGCACAAGATTAAATCATTTTTCAATCGTCCATTTACAGTGTCTTGCAACTTTTTTGGTAGAGGATCTATATGGTCTTCTTTTGGACTAGGCACATCTTTTTCTGAAAAATAAATACATATATTCATTTTTAGTCAAATTCGAATAATTCATCAGGAAGGAAAATATTAGCCCGCAGAGTTGCCTTCCATAAAAAAAAAAAAAAAACAGAAATGGGTCCTCTTTCCAGCTATAGTTTGTTAGAATTGTACGAGGCTCGTGACGTACACGTACAGCAGAATCAGTTATGACCTACATGAATCAGTTTTTGGGGAAGTGGCTTCGTAAAAAATCAGTCCTTCTTGCTTTAGTTGACAAACGAGTTCTTGGCAATTATAATTATTTCAGGAAAGAAAAAAATTACCAGTGAAAAAATTTATCTCTGACTTTCAACTGGACCATTTGAGACCGTTTCATCTTATGTGAGGGATGATATTAACAAAAAACCGTGCAATAGGCAACAATAATGATTTCGTGCAGTTCCTAATCACTCTTATATAAATGGAAGGCTGTTCACAGAAACCTTAGACCTTATAAATCTTATGGTTTTCCAGATTCTTGTACAGATTTTCAATATACAGGGTGTACATTTTAAGTGATACCACTATTGCTGTATCCTAAACGGTAAGAGCTACAAGGTCGGTTAAATTAGAATAAAGTTGCCTTTTTGATGCCCAGTTAAGACTCGTTTACAGTGTTGCCAAATTTCTTTTAGTGAAATACAGAGTGATTTCTAAGAAATTTAGACAGAATTTTTCTTTTATTTGAGAATTTCATACATCTGTAAAACTGTCATTCCAAGAATAAACTGACATGTTTTGATTGTTGATTTCAACCAATCATATTGGAATTACTCAATAATTTGCACTAGTGCAAATTATCAGATAATTGCATAGTAACTAGTGCGAGAACTGGTGTTTTGACATTTTTTGACAAAAAATTTAAATTTTTGATTCATGAAATTCTCTCATAAAATATAACTCCTGCAATGGAAATATATTTTTAATTTTTGACAAATTTGCACTCATGCATTTTTAACTGAAAATGCATTCGGGCAAATTTCCCCAAAATTATCGATAATTTCCATTGCACTCGTGATATTACTATTGACAATACCTACCCACCATAGAATACTACCGACCATAGAATAAGCTACCGACAATACTGGAATTCTGTGATACTGGTTATTTAACAAATTGCTAGTGGATAACAAATTACTGGTGCTAATATAATATGAGTGAGTATTAAACGGAACATCAGGCAAATTTCCCATTAAGTAATTGGTTCCTCTAGGATTAGCCTTGAAGTACTTCAAGTATTTATTTATTATTTGCCGACAAACATTGCGACCACCTATGGGCCAGTATTTTTCTCTGATGTAGGACAATAAAAGTTGTACACCGCAAGGTAAAACTCGTTCATGTTCTAGTATATATTTGGTAAAATAACTGGATATTTTTTCTCATCTAATAAATTAGCATGTTTGAGTCTACCGCCAACACATATTAAATTTTTCAAAATTGGATTCAAACTTGAAATTTTACTTTAAGAAGAAACTTGCTGAACAGATATTAAACAGTTAAATTCATCAACAAACATCTCTAATTGAGCTTTTTTATCAATAGTTCAAGTGATTTATTAAATTCTCCAGGCACAAAACCACCTTCGTCTTTTATCATGATCTTTTAACTTCAAATTTTTTATAAAACGTAATGCATAGGCTAATGAATGTAAAATTTCTGTAAGTAATACCTCTCGATAGTAAATCTGCAGGGTATTCCTCCGATTTGACAAAATGCCAATCTTGTTTATTCGATAATGATCGAGTTTCGCTAACTCTTTTAGCCACAAAAGTCTTCCAAGAAGACGATTCAACGCAAATCCAATATAGAGTTATCGTCGAATCTGACCAAAAATAATATTTGTCAAACTTTATTTCTAAAGCTGTCATAACCTTTTTAACTAAATTAGCCAATAACTGTGCTGCACACAACTCTAATCTTGGCAGGCTGACTTGTTTCACAGGAGCGATTTGACTTTTGGTCATAAAACTGCAATTTCTCAAAGAGCATCGAACATAAACGCAAGCGCTATAATATGCTTTCATTGAGGTGTCACCAAAATTATGTAATTCTATGTATATGAACATAATTTGAAAATATGTTTCTATACAGGGTGCTACAAATTGGAGTGCATGCATGGGGATATCGGAAACCTTAAGAGATACGAGGTTGGTTAAACTATGGCAAAGTTGCGCAATTTTATGACCAATAAAATTCAGTTTTGAAATTTGAAAAATTCCGAATACTTCCGAAGATATTTGGAAAAAACCGAAATTTTGCAAAAACGTTTTTATTTTTTCCTGAGTCTATTTGAAGAGCAATTTCAAAATAAATGTCACTTCATCATGTTCCCTTTACAAGATGTTGCTACCAAATTTCAGATTCGACGTTTCGTCTTTGGGCGGCCATCATCAACTTTATTTTTTTAAATACGACCCTGGATTTTTTATTCCAGATTTTTAGAGCTTCTGATGTCCCAAAACCTATGACGTATCGCATTTATTCGAAATAGTTATTTTCCTAACAAGTGCGCAAAGTGATACTTTCCCGCATGAAAAAGCAGTTAGACGAACGACGCGAAGCGGAGTTCGGATAAGCTTTGAGTGCGGGAAAGACACTTTGCGCAAGTGTAAGGAACAATACTTTTTCTACGAGTGTTTGAAGATTTGCATCCAGAGAAGCTGTACCTAATCTTCTTAAATGTTGCCAGATGCTCAAAATTGATAATTTTCTCTTCTAATTCAATGTGCTCAGTTTACAATTTTTTTTTTTCAGAGATTAGCTTGACTTTATTTGCAACATTGGTTGTGCTAGTGAGGTTAACTTAGAAATTGAATAAGTCCTTAAGTTAGTTTTTCCTGCCAAATTTTGGTATGAAAAGTATAACTCACAGTCCTACTTTTATAATTTGATACTCCAAAGGAATGTGAGTTGGTGGCTCTACATGCCAATGGTCCGCTGACCTCACATCTCTTTTTGCTGGATTTTTCCTCCCTTGCTCCTCATATGGAAAGTATCAAATTAAAAAAGCTCAACATTACCTGGATGCCTTTCTTGGAACAAAAATAACATCAGGCCCTTCTTTCTGAATGTAAGTTTTTCCAGAAACCCACAAAACATTGAAAAATCGAGTATAAATGTGGTAACTATGCGTAATAAAAATGAGTGCGCAAAGAGTTTCCGTGCGCAAAGTTCAACTTTGCGCACGCAAATGAGTGTGCAAAGTAATAACTTTGCGCACGCGAGTAGAAAAAATTATTTTTATTACTTTTTAGCAATTTCCTACCAAAATTATCTTCCCTGTCTCTCTCTAACACATTAAGTTCTTATGGAAAGTGCCAATAATATAAATTTTTCGAATAAATGCAATATCTCATTGGTTTTGGGACATCAGAAACTCTTAAAATCTGAAATAAAAAATCCAGGCCCGTATTTAGAAAAACGAAGTTGATGATGGCCGCTCAAAGACGAAACGTCAAATCTGAAATTTGGTAGCAACATCTTGTAAAGGGAAAAAAGTGACAATGATGAAGTGACATTTATTTTGAAATTGCTCTTCAAATAGACTCAGGAAAAAATAAAAATGATTTTGCATAATTTCGGTTTTTTCCGAATATCTTCGGTAGTATTCGGAATTGTTCAAATTTCAAAACGGAATTTTATTGGTCATAAAATTGCGCGACTTTGCCAGAATTTAACCAACCTGGTATCTCTTACGGTTTCCGATATCCCCATGCATACACTCCAATTTGTAGCACCCTGTATATTCTAAACTCATTAATTGAAGTGATACTGTGCTGAAATTCCCGCCAGATCTTAAGTATATAGCTAGGTATTTCATCGTCCCAGTTTATCCTGTTTCTAAATACCTTGAATTAATAATTTTGCAACTATGATTATGGGTCCCAATAACAAACCCAACGGCTCATATATCTGGGATATAACGGATAAAATTGTTCTTTTAGTAATTTTCTTGAATTTTAGTAGATTATCTAGATTTATGTTAAGCGGCGTTTCCACAAGCATATTTTATTGGCACCAGTGCACGTGCCAGTTTGCTGGCGTAATAATAGTGGCGCCAGTATCTGTTTCCACTTGATATCAGAAACTTTTGACTGGCGCAGTAGAAAAATGGCGTCAACTGAAGAAGTTCAAGCAGAGGTTTCAATGTTGTAGAAATTTTGTTACTTGAATGCACAAGATACAAAAAAACAAGAAGAAGGGACGTAAACACAAGATCTGTTACGAAAATGGATTTCACGCAGAAAAGTTCTAGGAGCATCAAATAATTTACTGTCTGAGTAAGCGGATGAAGACCATGAAGCATTTCTACTGCTTCTTATTTTACATTTAGCAGTGGTAATATCAAAACCACTCACGAACCCGAACTCGGACATCACCTCAATATCTATCCTTATAGCATCATCTCGTTTATTCCTGTTTTTGTAACACAAGAGTTTATGATTCCACAAACACGGATGCTCTTCATAAACTTCCAAAAACTTAATGGTAATATGTTCCATTTTTTAGATTTGTGATTTACTTGACACATTATTTTTCTGAAAACGACTAGTGAAATCGTTTGTTTGTTTTTTGACAAACTTGCGCACATGGCTAACTGGCGCTAAAAAGTAGACCTCCATTCTACTTTACTGGCGCATGGATAAGTGGCGCCAGTTAACTAGCGCCAGTTAATTTTCCGAGTTTTCACGCGGCAGAAAACTTGCGCCAGTCGACTGGCGTCAATAAGCTATGCATGTGGAAACGCCGCTTTATAATTTATGGAATAAAAACTTTGAGGGCGTCTGATACCCTTTTTGCAGCGACCTAGACGTCTGACGATTTTCATACGTTATCTATGACCTTCAAACAGATAATACGAAATTTCGATAAATCCTGAGCTCTCAGAAAAGAGTTTAGATGTTCCTTAAAATTACTACTTTTCGCGCGTCCCAGCGCCAGCTGTCCCGGAACTGTAAGTGCTGACTGTACACAGGCATTCTATCACTGGAGTACGACCTATTTTAAAAACATTAGCCTTCAGAAAACTCTTGCATATTTTCGACGCCGCCTCCTGGACTAATTGGAAAATGTAAAATTATTACCTTTTCAAGGAAGAAGTCACCTTATATTCATACTTATTTTCTTAATATTGATGAAATTATGAGAGTTATGAGACTATCAGAGACCTTGGAATTATCTTTGATTCAGAACTAACATTTACTGAACATATTGACACTATTGCGAACAAGTCCCTGAAGATGTTAGGTTTTTTCGTTTTTTGTTTAGGTCGTTGAGACTTTGACAATATTTTTACGTTAAAAACTGTCTATTGCGCTATTGTCAGATCATTACTGGAATATTCGTGTCCAGTTTGGTCACCACATTATGAAATTTATGAAATCCGTCTTGAAAGAATTCAAAGGAAATTCCTGAGATATATTGCATTTAAATTGGGCATACCAAGGGAAGATATTAGTTTTGTTGATTTAATGTCGCTTCTTAACTTAACTTCATTGGAACCTTTGATCTTTGTATGGTTTTTAAAATAGTTAATAATGTTATTGATTGTCCTGATTTATTATCTAGAATTGGTTTGCAAATACCTTCTGGAAACAGCCAAAACAATTTGTTCTATCTTGAGTTTCATAGAACAAATTATGGTTACAATTCCGCATTAACTAGAAGTTGTAGAGCCCTTAATGAATGCATAAATTCTTCAAATATGGACATATTTAATACAAACTTAACATCGTTTAGGAAAAGTATTTCTAGCTCGATTTCTAGGTCGTTAAGATGATTTGGTAAATGTGTGAAATTAAATACCTATTTGATTTTTTATAATCCCGAATATTTAATATCCATTCTAGTCTAATTAATGTAGGTATCTATGTCAAATTGCAATATATTTATACCACCTACTACCATACCTACCAAACTTTTATAATTTAAGTAACTAGTATAGTATATCTATTGTTTATTTATTTTTCTACTTGCGTGCGCAAAGTAATTACTTTGCACACTCATTTGAGTGCGCAAAGTTGAACTTTGCGCACGGAAACTCTTTGCGCGCTCATTTTTGTTACGCATTATTATCGTATACAGGGTGTCCCAAAAAGATACCGACAAACTTTAAGGGGTAGTAGGGGACATCAAAACAAACATTTTTGTTTATATAAACATATGTCCGCAAATGAGCCATTTGGGCTGTAGAGCAAAAAAACTGTTTGATACTTTTATTCTTCGCAATAATTAAATCACTGTTTACTTATTAATTTTGCTTTATTACCAAATAAATTATGATTTACAATAATTGTTCAAAATGTTGACCATTTACTCCAATGCAAAGATTACACCGTCGGGTCATTGACTGAAAAGTTTAGTCTATGAAACACCTTTTCGTAATGAGGAAGATCTGATAGCAAGGATACTGGCGAGTTGTACCCATGTAGAAGCTATTCCCGGAATATTCCAAAGAGTTCGCGATTTGAACAATTATTGTAAACCATAATTTATTTGCTATTAAAGCAAAATTTATAAGTAAACAGTGATTTAATTATTGCGAAGAATAAAACTAGATACCAAACAGATTTTTTGCTCTACAGCCCAAATGGCTCATTTGCGGACATATGTTTATATAAACAAAAATGCTTGTTTTGATGTCCCCTACTACCCCTTAAAGTTTGTCGGTATCTTTTTGGGACACCCTGTATATATCGTAGTTCGATCACGAAACGTCGGATTTAAAATCTGAAGATGTCATGTTCTAGAGCGAAAATAATTTTGTAAAGCTTTCAAATTTAAATTGTGTCTCAAATATCAATAGTTTTCGAAATAATTAATGAAATAATTTTAGGCGTTTTTTAGAAATCACCATGTATTTCATAAACTAAAACGAATTTGGCAACATTGTAAGTCTTGAATGAGCATCAAAAAAGGCAACTTTTTTCTAATTTAACCGACCTTGTAGCTCTTACCATTTCGGATATAGCAATAATGGTATCACTTAAAATGTACACACTGTATAATTTTTTTTTGATGGTGTGAAACCGTCTTCTTCAAGTTTTTCGAGACATTTAAAAAAATACAAAACTATTACAGTGGCAATACAGCTATCTTCATCCAAATAATAAGGTCAAAATCCGAGCACATACCAAATAATTTTGGTCAGCTTAACTTTTAAGATACAACTTTCTGATGAAACATGCGGTGTATGGTGTATCAGTGGAATATCAGCCCAAAGTCTTTTTAATATATTTTTTTGATGATTCAAACTCAGCTAGCAAAATTGCATTAAATAGACTCATGGGTTCTCGAACAGCTTCCTATTGCAAACCAATAGTATTATTATTATTAATAGGACAAGCTCCAAAAAGGTCAACTTTTTCTAATTTAATCGACCATCGACCCCAGTTTGCCAATGATGATGGTGGCAGATGTTATTTTGGATACCAAATATAAAGCTTACCCGTAGGTTTTTCGCCAACGCTCCCCTCTTCGACAATCCTTGCTTCCATTTCCTCGCTTTTAAACTCCCGTTCTCGTTCCTTATACAAATCTGGCAGCCACATATGCTTTTTGATCAAATTGAATATATGCACAGGATCGCTGGCGCTTCTACTTAAATGATAGCACACTGACACTAAGCAGGCCGAAAAAATGGAAAACAATATATGCTGGGACGTTTTCTCTTCGCTCAAACCTCCATAGGCAAGTCCGTTAAGAATTGTTACAGCTAAGATCGAACGAAAAACGCAATACAATGAACCTAGTAAATTACACATGGCATTACCCCCGAATAAATGTATATCCGTTTGTTCAAGAAAATACAAAGTGAAAGTATTAATCTGGGGAAATAATCCGAAAGAAAATATTGCAGGAAAAAACAAAATAAACACTGTAAGTGAATCTCTAGCGAACGTCAGGCACACTTGATCTTTGCTGGATATGTTGAAATGTAATATAATGACTACAGATGAAAAAAGGCAAAAGTACACAGGCCTTGAGTATGCTATAACCCTGTTAAATCCGTGTGTAGGCGAAGCAGCGTCTGGTTGGACGCTTTTTAATAACGAATACTGTGAACTAGCTACGATAAAACAAAACCAAAACGCCCAAACGTCTTGGTAAAAATCCAAATATAAATGTATAGCCCCTAAAACCGACACTAGAACACCTAAAGTCACAGTTAAGCCCGTTTCCATAATTGTTAGATTTCTATCTAACATTGCTAATAGTCCGAGACGATCGATAGTTATTTTCCACGGTAATATTTTCACTCTATAAAAACTTCTAGTCCGCACTTTATTTTCTTGACTTCCAACTTTGATAAATCTAAAAAAAAATAAACAATTTACTTTGCAATATATTTGAAATTATTACTGAAATTTACCTCAACTGGGTTCTTGTAGGCGTTCCACTGCCGCCTTCTCTACTTCCAAGCATTATTATTTCAGGATTATCAGGATTTGCTAAAGTGGCAATGTCTCGTAATGCTGATAACGTAATGTCTTCCTGAGACGTAGTAAGACGACGGCGCGGTAAAGAGTCCCCATTTTGAGTGTGCCGGAAGAAATGTCGGGCGAGATTATCACGGAAATCGTGTCTCAAATTATCCCTGAAATAAAAATGGGCGTAATTTTGTTTGTATAAAGAGAAAATAAATTATAATGTATTGAAAAAGAATACATTTTTTTGGTGCAAGATAACTAAACTAAGTAGGTTATATTTTTTATAGATCTGCACCTAATCTCATTTCTAGCTTCAAACATAAAGTAGGAATACTACGAATTGACGCTTACCTAGAAGATAAAAAATAAATAAAAAGTTGGAGAAAACTAAAAAGCATTAGACGTATGAGAGATATTACTTCTGCAATGAGAAAAGTATCTCAAAGGATTGAGTTTAAATCAAAAGGAACACCCATAAGAGTAACTAAGAAGGTGAAAAGCAATGCAATGTTATTTGTTAAAAAACAGAAAACTGTCAAGACCAGAAAATAGCTATTTATACAATAAGTTACGAAATGAGCGTCTTTTAGGCACGCGACGTGAAAATTGTCCAACGAGGCAAAGCCGAGTTGGACAACACGTCGAGTGACTAAAAGACATCGTTTCGTAACGTATTGTATACAAGATTTTTTCTACTGGCATTTTATAATAAAAAAAACACAATTTTATTTCATGTGAATAAGTCGATTACACCCAAAATCTTTGTCACCTGCTTTTACTTGACACCTGACACTTTTCATGCGATTTTCTTTTCAAAATTCGGCATCAATATTTAAAATCCTAGAAAGTAGGTAATAAAACAAAGTTCTGTTTTGAGTAACCCAAACGTTCAATTCAGTAATTCCATTTTCAATATTCATAATAAATACAAAACAAAATTCAAATATGTGTTTAGTGTTGTTTTTTATTTCTGAATAATGATTGACACTTTTAGGCACTAGTGCTTAAAAATTACTTTTACGCACTCATAAGTCACTTTTACGCATTCAAAAGTCACTTTTACGCACTGAGTGCCTAAAAGTAACTTTCACGCACTCAGTGCCTAAAAGAATGCCGTTTCAAAACTGAAATGACAATCGAAAAGTTGCTATTATGAAACGTCAGTAGAAAAAATAAATTACATCACCAGAAAGGTCAAGAAAAAAAAAGCACTTACCTGAGTTGAACATTAATTTCCTGGCCAATGCTAGGCCTACTATTGTTCCTAGATCCCATCACCATAGAAGCGGAGCTCTGTAAACTATCATTACTATCCCAAAGATCATTATTGGTGCAATCCAGTCCCAACTTGCGTTTCCTTGTCCTATTTTGTGTCACATTTTGGCTTCCCAAGGGATCGTTGTTTACAGTACTGCTGGACCGTTTCTCATCAAATGTATAAGTGATCCAATTTCCGTGCTCGTCCATAAAACAGTGAACTGCTCCATCGCTAGTATCATTGAAGCTTTTGGCAGTATGCGTTCCTTGACCTGACAAGGATTGGGCTAGGGCGTTATCTCTTTTTCCAACGTTTGATCTTTTTACTGCTGTTCTGGCCCTTCTCAAGCGGTTTCTCTGACTGGATCTTGGAGAATTTTCTAGGCAAAGAAATAAAAACAATGCTTAAGTATACAACTTGGGTTTTACAAAAATGTTCTGTGTAACATGTCAGTAAGTGTTTCATTGAGAATCTAAAGAAAACAAAGCAAGCAAAATGAATCTATGGAAATACTGCAATTGAGCAAATTTTTACTGCCATGGTTAAGTAGGAATTACTAAAAAGCAAGGTTTTGAAGATATCTTACCGGAAACCCAACTGGCAGTAAGTAAATCCCTCCTAGGATTAAGAAAGGCCGAAAGTAAGGGAGGTGCGGGCGGCAAAAGCGTACTGAGTTCGTTGTTCGAACCACTCGAAGAGGCCTCTTCGCTTTTCATTTGTTGATGTTTTAAAGGATCTTTTTTCAAGAGAGCTTTATTAGTATTTTTAGCGGGTGTTACACGATACATTTAGCAAAAAAATAATAGCTACTAAAAGTTTTCACATGTAATCCAATAACTTACCTCTTTTTGAACTACTAGCTTTTTCTTTGGAGTCTTTTCTTATAGGAGACATTGCAGCTGCTTCTAGGTCTTCAAAACTTGAGTTAGGAGGAGAGTCTTTTACTTTTCCTGTTTGGGTTACTTTGTTTTCTTTAAAGGATTTCGATTTTTCTGGATCCGATTTACACCTACATGAAATAAATTATACATTATACTCCAATAAAAACAGTTATTTAGATATGTGTACTCACCTGCTACAAGCTCTACATTTTTCCGATTCACTTTTTGGCGTTCTCCGTTCGTTTTCTTTCTGATAATGACTAGATAATTTTTTAGGAATAGCACCCAAACTACGTACAGCCGGCACTGTTTCTTGCAACACTTTACTGACATCTTGCTCTAATGAGACTGTTGTCGTACTTGACCATTCATTGTCTTTTTTTAGAGGCTCTAAACAATCATTAAAAAACGTGAAACAAAATAATCATTAATAGACTGATTTAAAAAAAAACGCATTGAATATCTACCTTTTCTATGTGTTAACCGATTCCCTGTATTATTAGAGTCCTCAAACAGCCAATCTAAATCCGCGTCCACATCTAACTGCGCCAGTGAAGAACAATTTCCAGTTCTTGGACCGGTAGTATCACTTTTCCTTCGTCTATATTTTTTTACATTCCTTTTTCTCGTTATTGCTGGCCCACCAGTGTGTTGACAATGGAAGTTTGATGCGCCTGTACAATCAGAATTTCATATGATTAAGAATTAATTTAAACAAACAGAATAGTTCAAATCACTATAGGTTTTGGATGTATTGAAATATTAGGCACTAGAGCAAGATTCAGAAGGCCAATACAAAGTAATTTGGAATTCAGATTAGTAAAAAATTAAAATGATGAGCTCTCACCCTCTGCACCAGCTCCTGTCCATTCTTCAGCATCCCTTTCCAATCCTTCTGCTGCATCAGCCTGTAGATAACGTAAGCAATGAGATAAGCAACTATCTTCCAAAGAAGCATCATTGGGGTTTTCCTCATCAAAAGAGCCCAATGCCAACTCGGCCATTTTTATTTTCATGCTCTCCTGGAACTCGTCACTTGAACAAGACAAATTCGAGCACTCGCTCAATTTGGTATTACTAAGATCATTGTCTGTGGCATAGTCAACTTGCGCTCCACCTAGTGCAATCTCAGTAACACTTGAATTTGAATTTTCGGGATCTATAAGGGCCTCCTTCGATGTGGCAGCATTGTGTTCCAGTTGTTGCTCAGATTTGTTTTCAGATTTCGGGACATTCAGGCAAAGCAGTTTTTCTCCTTTTTCAAATCGGATGTATAGTAGAGGCAATTGACTACCTATATTAGAATAATAATTGGAATAAGAAATTTAGATTTTAAAACAAAATTTACCTTGATTGGTTTCCTCAAAATCTGAATCAGAAGCATGAGTCAACGAATCTATATCTGTGTCGGGTCCATGTGAAGTCTGATGTTCATCAGATTGCTCTGCTATGGGATACACTATTTCTGAACCTGAGAATGCATTACAAATATAATCAATACATTAATTTGCTAATTGTGAAGAGGATCAACTTACCATAATACTGACACAAATTCAAATGCTGATTTCTAGTCAAGCTTGTACTCGGAGGTGGCAAAGGGTTCTTATTATTGGTCTTGCACCCAATCACTTCTAAACTATTGGTGTTTGCTGGAATAGTGGGTGGAGGACAGCATGTTTCTAAAGCTGCCGACTTGAACCTTCTCACATCTCTGCTTTTTGGTTTAAAGTAGAAACCCTCAAAGTTTAGGGGTTGATTTGGATTCTTATCTATGTAACCTAAGAAACAAAACAAAAATTAAAAAATGTCAGATACATATTTTTACACTTACCTAATTCTAAGCTTCCAGTGGGTTTAATTTCAGCTTGTGTAGCTGAAGGAAGAAAATTTAGACTGCTATTAGTGAAATTTGAATGTCTTCTGCCACTAGTCGTTACATTATTTGAAGAATCTTGTTCAGAATCAACACTTTGCAATGAGGGTCTTTGTTGTAACACTAATTCAATGTCTTTTTCTTGCGAGTCTACACTACCTTGAGATTTATCAAAATAATTAAATATTTATATCATACAAGCATATTTTAATATTCCATTCTCACCTTGGGGTTCCAATCTGCTTGAACCTGCAATTTCATTATCATTATTCAAAGATTCTTGTTTTTCCTTTGACCTTTTAGGTTTTCTTAATTTCCTTTCTCTATTATGTAGGGAAGGTATAATGAATTGAACCCCGGCTTCTTCTTCTCTTGCTTCACTAGATTCGCTACTGGCTGTTGAATTTTTTCTATGAACTTCTGCTTTTAAATCTGAAGACGTAATTTTCCACATAACAAAACTAAGAAAATTAAGAATCTTATCATCAACAAACCTATGCTAGTAACATTTTTGACGCCTCCTACAGCACCTTCAAGCTGAGGTGGATCAGATGATTCCAAACTATCTATACTAGGCTGCACCCTATTTTCTGATAGACTAAATAAAGTGCCTAATCCTGCTGCTGGATCGCTACTATTTATTTTTGAAGATATTTCTTGCAATTCTATGACTTCATTAGACCTAAAAAGGAATTGTACATATTAAGCAACACTTAAAAAATAATGGAAATGTTTATAAACATACATAGGTTAGTATTACAAATAATATTATGTACATCTACAGAATGTCCATCTAGTGTATAAGTCTGCACATAAATATACAAGTAGTTACCAGCCTGCAATTATTATTGGAAAAAATTGCCAATATAATTCAATGAAATAAAATGACCATGAGATCAACGTATCTGAACAAAATGTGACATTTCAAGGCAATAATGGCAATAACTTAAATACAAAATTCAATTGATTGAGTGTTCAATAATTCAAGAAGAACTTCTCTAGGCTACAAATAAATGCCTAATTAAAATGATTTTTTTTTTGATCACTCAAAAAGCAAATTTTGTAGACTGTAGAGTAACAGGTAACTTGTTGAAAAGTTTTACAGCAATATACGCATGTCTGTTGTGTTACTTTCCAGGTTTAAACAGGCTTGGGAGTAACCGAACCATTTTTCTAATGGCATTTTTTCCAGGTCAGGGAAAGAACCTCCTGTAGTCATCCTTACTATTCTCTGAAAGCGAAAACAGGCTACTATACACTATATGACATCAAATACTTGCTAGATTCACAGTTAAACGAATACATCACCAGCAGCCCTCTAACATACGTTGAGTCAAATTTAAATGGACTAAAAACCAATGTAGACATAGAGTGTAGTAGCATATGGAAACAGCACTGATCTTGCCATTGATAGGACAAGAAGACCCATGTTGGATTCTTGGGGAATCCCAATGTTAATATTTGCTGGGGGAGGTGACACCAACCCTGGTCCACACTGGTCTAGCAGTGAAATTTCAGTCAGTGCTGTTAAAAATTGTACTATTCTGTTTATCAAGTCTATGTTATAGTGATTTATGTATATCGTATATCATTGGTTTCTCAAAAAATACATATCTTGAAAACTATAAACTTACTTACTTAATGGACACTCTGTATAAAAACTATTTGTTACTACCACCACAACTAAATTTTGGAACACATATATTGTTGACATACCTAGCTAAAAGAGCAACATTGCCTAAGCGAATAATTTTATCCCCTTTATGCGACAAGTCTTGGAGCTCAATGCCTTCATCTTCTCTAAAAACGTAAACATAATATTGCTCAAAAAGTTCCAGTAACTGGACTTTTTCGAAGAAACTCCCTAAGTCCAATCAATATTGACTGAAGTGAGTGTAAAAAATTGTAAGGCATGACATAACAAAAGCTGAGTGAAAGGTTTCTTTATCCAAACAAATTCTTATCTCTATAAACATGGCTGTTGTATGGTGGAAAAAATCGTGGCTTGTATGAAAAATAAGTGATTACCTACTAGAACCTCCAATTAAAATTAAGAGGGGCAACTCCTTTACTTCTTGTTGAGAATCAAGGTTTATAAAAGCAGGCAGTCCCTCATAGAAGAAAATATTTTTATTTAAAAATAACCTCTCCTCAATGATAAAAACAATAACATATAAGTTTATAAATAATTATGACGAAGAGATTCATGTTTCATAGTGGCAATTAAAAAAAAATTGAAAAATCCTTCTTATGCTTTGTGTCATTTATTATGTGAATCTTTTAACCGATATTCCTGCCAGATAGCGAAGGCTGCCAGAAATACATACCTTTTAACAAATTGAAAAAAACGTAACAGTACCCCCATGAAGTTTTTGATAACACAGTATTGAAATATGCGTTCCTGCTCGGATTTGTGTTGAGACAGTGCTGGGAGTTAACTGATGTGGAGGCGATAAAAGTTTATATTATGCATTGGTGAGGAATCAACTGGAGTATAATTGTGTTGTATGGTCTCCTTTTTATAGCGAACACATTAATAAAATAGAACAAATTCGACAAAAATTTGTCAGATTTTTACTCTATAAATTAAAAATTGGTAAAAATTCTCTAACATATCACCAAAAATTAAAAACTCGCGGCATGGAAAGTTTAGAGTCTAGAAGAGAATTGCTTTCGCTGAGTTTTATTCATAAAATTTTGACCAATAACATTGACTGCTGTGCTCTAATTGGTATATCTTTGGTATGTTCAATTTTAGAATGAACTTGAACTTGTTGCTTTTCGAGACATGGTACATATCAATAAGTTATCTATTAACATTGGTAAAGTTTTAAATAAGCTGAATCACATCAATGTAAATAAAGGTCCAGGACCTGATGGAATACCTCCAACATTTCTTAAGAACTGTGCACTAGCCTTATCTAGACCCTTGTGGCTGTTATATAATAAATCATTGTCTGTTGGAGTTTTTCCAAAATATTGGAAACTATTTTTTGTATGTCTGATTTTTAAAAACTCTGGCAACAAGGAAGATGTTGAGAATTATCGCCCTATTACACTATTATCTCATTTCCCAAAGATATTTGAATCACTGATAAACGATTTTTTAACTGAAAAACTTAAAAATATAATAATTCCAGAACAGCATGGTTTTACCAGTGGTCGATCTATAACAACAAATTTGCTAGTGTATGAACGAGCCATATCGGGGGCCTTGGATGCCGGTCAGGTTGTAGATTCTATCCATAGGATTCTATCTATACCGACTTCTCCAAGGCCTTTAATAGGGTGAGGCATGCATTGTTGATAGAAAAACTTTCCAAATATGGTGTATGTGGTTCACTTCTTCAACGGCTGTATTCTTATCTTGTAGACAGAAGCCAGATTGTAAAGGTGAAGTCATTTCAATCTGAGGTTATTAGTGTTACTTCTGGGGTACCTCAGGGGGGTCATCTTGCACCACTCCTGTTCTGCTTATTTATCAATGACATAGAGTCTTGCTTCCATCATGTCCAATTTTTATTATATGCCGATGACTTGAAAATTTTCAAGAGTATAAATCAAGAAGGCCTAGACAGGGGAATGCAGGATGATCTTCTGAAGTTCCATGAGTGGTGTGTTGAGAACGAGATGACATTGAATGGCAAGAAATGCAAATATATTCAGTTCTCTAGGAAACATTCTCCCAAACTAAATGACTATTACATAAATGATAATGTTATTGAAAATGTTTCTAGTATTCGTGACCTAGATGTTGTATTCGATGCAAAATTGTCATTTTCTGAACACATTTATGTATGTTGTAATAAAGCATTGAAAATGTTAGGTTTTATCAAAAGACACACAACAGACTTTAAGAATGTTTCTGCTCTCAAGTGTTTGTATGTGTCATTGGTTCGTTCCCATCTTGAAAATAATAGCTGTGTGTGGTCACCACATTATAAAATTTATGTTGAATTAGTTGAACGTGTACAGAGAAAATTCTTGAGATACCTATGGGAATACCTTCAGATTTTATTGATCATGGTCAGCTTTTGCAGAATTTGTCATTGGAAACATTGGAGCATAGGCGTAGAAAATTTGATCAGTTATTGATTTTTAAGTTGCTCAGAGGTTATCTGAATTGCCCTGAGTTGCTCTCGGCTGTAAACTTGAATGTCCCAGTGAGGAATTTTAGAGCTGTGCGCTATTTTTTGTTGGAGAGACATCGTACCTCTTATGGCCAACACACAACCATTAATCGGGCTATGTCTAATGCCAATGAGATACAGGTGGACATATTTGCTGCGTCTTTGCACCAAATGAAGATCACTGTGATATTGTTTTGTAATCTAGTGATTTACTCTGTGATCTGTTTTTGGCTGTTTTTTGTTGTCCTTTCAATTTTTTAATTTAGAAATAATTTATTGTACTCTTTTTAAAATTTTTATTTATATGTGGTTTGTTATTAGTATTAATATTATTATTATGGCAATATTTGTAAAATTGGGCCGCTGCCCGTTGGAAGTGGAAATAAATAAATAAATAAATAAATACCAACATATCGAACAAAATCGGACAATGTTTTTTACACAAATAAATGTCATACCAATATAGGCAGAAACAATGTCAAAAATCGTTTAATGAGATTGTACGATGCTCATATTCCCCTAGACTTTGACCTAAGCTGCACATCAACTACTTTTAAATTTAGAGCTAAAAAATTTCTAGATGAAAAATCATCACTCTAGTCAATAGTTGATAGTTCCTATGTAATATGTATAATACTTGTTATGTTTTCTTCGAGGGGTGAATAGCTCTTGCAGTCGGTGTACATATTTCTCACAATCTTCACACAATCATTCACAATCAGATCACAATCTCACACAATCTGTCACAATCGTTACACAATCACACACAATCGTTACACAATCACACACAATCATGTCACAATCTCCAGACCTAGAAGTTGTAGAAAAAAAATTGTATAGGGTGTTTACAAATTCACGAGTAAGTATACGGATCTGGATGCGGATTCTAATTGCTCGATGTCGAAGGATGCGACTCGGAAATAACATTGATGCTGCCTATACGAGACGCTCGACTCGTGTCGGCTAGTGAAATTGTGAATCGGCTACTGGATAACCATAAGAGATGCAGGCTCATTTAAATTGGGGCAAAGTTACGCAATTTCTTGCTCACCAAAATGCCGTTTCGAATTCTGGAAAATTCCGGATAGGTACTAAAAAAACGAAGCCGTTTTTATTGTTTCCTCTGAGCTTATTTTTGAAGAGATACTTCAACATGAATTGCACTTCATCGTTGCCATTTTTTTTCCCACAATATGGCATTATCAAATTTGAAATCCGAGTTTCGTCTTTGGGCCACCCCACCATCAACTTTAATTTATTGAATACGGCTCTGGCTTTTTGTGTAGTTCTTTGCTAGCTGACTTTTTCAATGGAATGGTGTATCAAAACAATCGATAAAATGAACATTTCAGTCAAAAAAGTATGATATGATTTGTATGGAGATACTCATTGATACAATTTACGAATTTACCCAATTAATATATTTTTTTTAAATAATGAGTTTGACAAAAACAAATTTATGAAGAAAACAATGTGTTTGACAAAGATGAGTATCTCCATACAAATTTTATACTTTTTTAATTGAAATGTTCATTTTATCAATTGTTTTGATACATCATTCTATTAAGGAAGTTAAAAACTAACAAAGAACTAAATAAAAAATCCAGGTTGAGTCATAAAAAAATAACAATATTTTTAAGCAAATAAAAGCCTAATTTGGAAAAAGTATCTATCTCACAACAAATTCTTTATTATTTGTCATCATCTTCCTGTTTTATTAAAACTTTTGTCTTTCACATCTGTCTGTGATGATTTTTTTTTCTAAATTCAAACACCTGGTATAGACCTGTTTAAAAAAAATTGGGTTTCCGTAGGTGGCGCAGAGGAAACGCATGTTTCAAGTGTGATGAACAACTTAGAGGTTGAAGATGTGTGACCCCAAAGCAGGACGACACTCCTTGACTGACACTATTTTTCATTATTTATTGAAAAGTGCACTATTATCACTTCATTTAGCTGTACCTAATCGAGTACCTAATTGAAACAAAATTATCTTGAAGATTAAAAATGTTATGCTTGCTTATAACTATGTGAAAAACATGCGTTTCCTCTGCGCCACCCTGTACAACTGCTCAATCAAAGTAATGTGTATAAGAATATTCTTTACACATTGCTTATGGTAATATTTTTCAATTTGTTATAATTACAGAAAAAAATTTACTTTTGATATTTTGTTATTTTATTCTAACCCAATTAATATTCCAGAGCTGTTTTTTCGCGTTCACTTTTCTAAAATTGTATCAAAACAGATTTTTGAATCAGTATATTCTCGCGATGAACCCATGACGTCACATCAAAATTGGTCAAACCGTTTCGAAATGAAATCCAATCCACGTTTTAAAACCATTTTTTTGAGCCCAGAAGCTATGACGTCATGTGACATTGTTTTAAACCAGTTTTAAAACATTTGACACGCGAGAGAACATCTATAGTCTTTACACAATCATTCACAATCCTTACACAATCACTCACAATAATGACAGAATCAGTCACAATCACTCACAATCATGACAGAATCGGTCACAATCAGTCACAATCGCTCACAATCAGTCACAATCGCTCACAATCAGTCACAATCCTTATACAATTATCCAAAATCGTACACAATCACTCACAATCGTACACAATCGCTCACAATCTTAGCAAATTTCCTTGGAGATTGTGGAATTTGGCAGTCGGTGTACACATTTTGGGTCAGCTATTCACCCCTCGGTTTTTTTTGTTACGTATATCTGTGTCATGTGAAAATTTTGAGGTTTTTCTAGAATCCAAATAATCTGTTTCAATTAACTTTAAGTTTACTTATATGCAAATTATTCTATTTAGGTAAGACCATCACCTGTAATTGTACAGGGTCTGTTCCTTATAATTAGTGAGGCTCTTGCAACTTAAACAAAAAAAAGTTAAATAAAAAAGTTGTAGGGTTTTATCTCTATTATCTTTCGTACATGTCAAAATGGCCAAATGACAGGTGCCAACTGTCATAATGATAGTACTTGCATTTTTTTAAATGGAACACCCTGTATATTTCTAGCTAGAATGATAGATTTTTTTCTTCTGATTTCAAATATATCATATATGTTGATATTTGGTTCAGCTGTTCTTACGCTATTCAAGTTTAAAAATGCATTTAGATACCCCTAAATTAGGTCTGTTTCCGGTTTTTTATATCAAGGATGAGGCTTGCTCAATGCAATTTTAAAATGAAATAGCGCAAAAACAGCTGATGCTAATATCAACATATATGCTAATTATGGTATATTTGAAATCAGAAGAAAAATATGCAGAGTGTTCCATTTAAGAAAATGCAAGTGCTGTCATTATGACAGTTGGCACCTGCCATTTGCCCATTTTGACATGTGCAAAAGATAATAGAGACTCAAATAGAGATAAAACCCTACAACTTTTGTATTTAACTTTTTTTGTATTTTTTTTTTTTGTTTTAGCTGTAGGAGCCGCACTAATTATAAGGAAAAGACCCTGTACATGCTGAATAAATAAATAAATAAATTTCCAATAGATAAATAATTAAAAATATAATTTGTACGGGAAATTTAATAATTTTTTGCCAAGATGTATGGAAATTTGGGCTGAATAGGGAATTTTCATATTTCTCAATTTATTTATTTTTTAGCTACTTCTAGTGATCAGATATTACATAGTTTTCTTTTTTTCCATTTTAATCTATTCGTTGTAGGAATTTTTTTTTATTGAAATTCAAATTGAAAACTTTGGCGCGAAAACGCGAGGTTTCAATAGGCCTATTCGGGTTTGGAAAAAGGAAGGTTCTACAACGGTTCAAAACAATCGTCCAGTTTATTGATCAACAAAATAACAACGACTCGACTATCACTAATTTCAATAATAAACTGTGCGATTCTTCTGGACCGTTCTAGAACCGTACTTTTTCCAAACCCGAATAGGCCTAATATGTCAGCGCTCGTGATGTCAAGATTTTGAAACAACAAACGCAGCAAACGAACTCCTGCTGACGCAGTGCTATTTTTGTGTTATTCAAGTGTGTTAAAGTTTGCTTTTTGTGAAAATTGTCGCAATGGATGAAGAATATTGTAAAGGACTGCTTTTATGAATTTTATTTCACTTGCAAGTTCCCTATTGTTGACAGGTTTGTTTACGTGACGTGACGTCAAAAAAGGTAGCCATCATGGAAGCATTGTTTTGGCGAGAAATTTTTTATTTCAAATTTAGCATTATTTTTTTTTGTAACAAGGTCGGTATCAGTTAACTAAAAACTGGTCATCTAAAAATTATGCAGTATAAACTATTGATTTAAAACCAATTTGGAAAATTTTAGTTCACTTGCAAGTTCCCTATTGCGGGATACTTTTAGTTAAAAAAAAAATGATTTGTGACCTTGAAGGCATGGACGAATTTGGGACGACAAGTGAATCAGTTATCTACAAAAATTTCAGTTTTTATTTAATTTGGTCATCAAAACCTCAATATATCCTGATAAATGGAAGGTAGCCAAGGTCATACCAATTTATAAGAATGGCATAAGGCAAGACATTAGAAACTACCGCCCTATATCTATTGTGTGCGCTGTATCTAAAATATTTGAGGTCATAATTTTTGAGATTTTATATAAATACCTTGTCCGACATGGAAGTTTCTCCATTTTTAATTAAACTTACAAGTTCATACTTAACTGGCAGATTTCAATATGATATGTTGCGATTAAGCTGCAAGTCTGTTTTATACTAGAGTACGTCAGGAGTACCCCAGGGATCTAATTTGGGACCATTACTTTTTATAATTGCTATAAACAGCATTCTCAGCAATGTTAAGGGCTGTATGGCCCTTTTGTTTGCCGATGATTTTAAACTTTTTTTGGAGATTATTTCTTCTATTGATTGTGAATTGTTACAAAACGAATTTTCTAATGTTGTTAATTGGTGTCAAGAAAATAGTTTCAAGTTAAATTCAAGCAAGTGTGCTTGTATGGCTTTTACACTACTAAGACTTTTAGGGTTGATGTAAGCCTTCATTTATTTGATAGTCTGGTGTTGCCTATCTTGGAGTATGGGTGCTTGATATGGTCGCCCCAATATAACGTATGGATAAATATTATTGAGGGAGTGCAAAGAAAAAGAGACGTGTGAAGATTTTCTTATGTACTATGTTTAAAATTCTGAAGGGTGACATCGACTGCCCTGATATCCTTGAACAATTAACATTTTCTGTAAATCATTGTAATTCTAGAACCACAAATATCTTCTACCTAGCTTTTCCACGAACCAACCTATTTAAAAGCTCCCCCATTTATGGTCTTTGCAATATTTTCAATTTGTATGCATCTGACATAGACATAGACCTGATAAACTTTAAAACATTTAAAAACTTAATTGACAAAAAATTGCGCCAGAGTTAATTTTGGGTAGTAGCCGGATCGTAGTATAAATTTTATCAATAGTTAATTTTATTAGTTTCTCTATTTTAAATTTGCTGTAATCTGTGGTCTGTATACCTGTTTGTACTTACCGCATCGTATATTTTGTATTTAATAGTTATAATGTCTTTATTTTATCATGTTATCCGATTTTATCTATACGTAGCTTAAATTATTTGTCTTCTTCTTAGAACCAATTTTGTTAGGTAGTATTCAAATTCAAATTCTTTATTACCAGGTGAATAACAATCAATACACGAGTGCATACAATAGCTCACACTACTACAATGTACAGTATATCCTGCAGAGACAACAAAGTCTGTGTGCAGGCCTAGCTGGTGAAACTCTGCAGACTAGCATATACAATGAATGCAGCCTCACAGAGCTCCACCATCAACCTATGACTAAAGGTGCACACCCTTACTTAAAGTATGATAATGAGCAAATTACCACACTTCAAGTCGTACACCTAAAAAAAATCCCTAATGTAAGAGCAACATTTCAGTTATTGTGTTTGTAACAATCATTATATAATAAATGTATATTTGTAAAAATAAATAGTTATGCTAACAAAATTCATACTCACAGGATGAATTCTTTTTTTTTTTTCTTTTTCCCTATATTATACTATAATTATATTATAAATTTATATTTGAATTTATTAGAAAACTTTTGATTCTATTTTTAAAAATTTTACTTACTCTAGCAGAAAGTTTTAATTCATTTGGTAGAAGATTAAAAATCTTAATCGCACTAATTTTTGAAGCCTTTTTGCCAACCTCAAGTGAAGTTTGGATACATGGAATGCTTCTGTTTCTGGTGGAAACGTTTCTACTATTGAAACAGGACTTAAGATAATCAAAGTTTATGATTAAAGTTTTAAAGTAATAAATTTGTTTTATTTTCAATATCATACTTTCTTTGTATATCCTATCTAATTGATGACTTCTTACTTGAAATATAATAATATGTATTTTGACATTTGTATTTAGAGTATCTGTTTAATATCTTTTCTGTAAGATTAATTTTAAGCATACAGGTATCTGTAATTGGCAATTTGCTGTTGATATCTCATTGAATAAATAAATAAATAAATAAATAAATAAATAAATAAATAAATAAATAAATAAATAAATAAATAAAATTTCCTTAAAGCAGGATGCGCACTGAATCGACTCGGACCGGTCGACTCGGCGAAGAGCAGTCGGCAGTTTTTGATATTAAATATGAAATTAAATGAGGCTCCGCGCACGGCATCGGACTCCTCGACTCGACGTGGTCGACTCGACATGGCAAAAACGGAGATTGCTCGAAGGGGCAAAAACTGCAGAATGCTCTGATGGCCATGGACAATTTTTGTGTGAAATTTAGTGTACCGTTTGATACGTTTCGGTTTGTACTGAGTTTGTGTCCTGCTTCTGGAGCAGTAGTATCTTCAAAACCTCATAAAACTTCCTCTAGACATTCTAGGATATTAAAAAAAACTATTCCCCACTCGATTCCCCATCTCCAAGCAAACCGGGGAATAAATGGTAGAATTTTCCGCAGACCTTCCTTTTCAAATTAATATTATGGACTCAGTAACAAAAAAATGGCCGAGGTATTGCCAGCTGATGAGATACCTCCTGATATTTATTTAAAATGTCATAGTAAACAAGTGAATTCTATTGTAATATGTATACTGTGTGATAATGCCTTTCATAAAAGTGATTTTAATAGGAAAAAAGGCGTTAAATATGTGTCGCCAACTTTAGTGATCTGCGATGAACACAAAGGTCTCGACCTAACCTCAACTAGCCTGGATAATCCTAGAGAAATGATTGCTAAATACAAGGAAGATTTATATAATATGAATAAGCAATTTTCAAAGGTTAAAGCCCATTATAATAGTCTCAAAGAAAAATATGATGCAATGCTAGAAGTAAACCACACCAATAACTTACAAAGTAAACAAACAACTCTAGTCAATAAAAACGATGCATCTTTAACCCAGATTGATGAATTGCAAAGAGATAATAATGGTCTCAGGGTTTTAAATAGCGAACTTAAAGATAAAAATAATATCCTCAAAGAGCTAAATATGGAACTAAAGGAAAATAACGGTCTTTTAAAGGAAAAGATGCTTACACAGCCTCAACAGGTACCAGATTATGCCTATGTAACTACTTTTGGAAAAACAAGCCTGAAAAAAAAATATACCTAGTATTGTTATTCAATCGCAAAACAACAAAAACTTCAAAGATCTGGTACAGGAAACTAAGAAGGTGATCTGTGACAATACGAAAGTACCTGTTGATATGTTTTATGTAAAGGATAGGGTTATAGTGAAGTGCAAAAATATAGATGATGTGAGCAAAGTTGAAAATAAGTTAAGGAATGATTTAGCAGGAGGTGCAAAAATTGATGTTCAACAAAAACAAAATCCCAAGATCAAGGTAATAGGAATTGATGATCATATTGAAGGTAAAAATAATAGCGATATAGAGGCAGATATATGTGAGAGAAATGGTTTAAAAGCAAATAATGGATCAGTAAAAATTGTACATAAATATATAAATAGAAATAATAATACAGGGTCCTTGATTCTGGAAACAAATTCAAGTGCCTATGCGATGATCATGAAAGAAAAAAAAGTATATATAGGCTGCCAAAGATGTAATGCTTTTGACGATTTCAATGTAGGCATTTGCTTTAATTGTGGCAAGTACGGCCACAATGAAAAGAAATGCAGGAATAACACTTGTTGTATATATTGTGCCGGTAATCACTACTTCAAGGTATGTGATAAAAAAGATGAATTAAAATGTACTAACTGTGATAGTTACAAAAATAGAAATGGCACAGCTAAAACGACAACCAACCATGCAGCAAATGACACAAAACTATGCGAGTCATATAAATATTTCTTGTCTAGAAAAATTAGTACCACGGACTATCCCTTCAACCCTATCTCAAACAAGTCAGCATCAAACTAAAAGTCAGCTTCACATAAATCAGTTGACTTTAATTTAATTTTAATGGATATGGACAACATTTTGGATGAGTTTGAACCAGTGGAGAAGGAAGTGGACGATGTGAAATGTATCAATGATCTGCTGAATATTGGGAATTTCACAATCCTACATGTGAATGTTAGAAGCCTGAACGCAAATTTTGAAAACCTGGAAGTCTATGTTGATAGCCTGGATATTAAACCTGAAGTAATCGCCTGTTCTGAAGCTTGGAATGTCCCATATGTGCAGTATTTTCATTTGAGTAACTATAAAGTATATTACAATAATAGTCTGATAAACAAAGCTGATGGTGTGGTTGTATATATAAAAGATGATTTGGTAGAGTACACAGAAGTGGAAACATTTGATCAGTTGCGCATCTTAAGCTCCACCATTGCTTTGTGTAGCAGAACCACAATAAAAATATCGACAGTATACAGATGTCATGATTTTGATAAGCCTTTTTTTGTGGATGCATTGAAAGCCTTTATAGACAGTAATAGGAATATCAAAAATCATTGTATACTGGGCGATTTTAATATAGATTTATTGAAAACAGATACCATTAATCAGGATTTTTTAAATAATTTTCTAGAAGCTAAATATTTGCCTTATTTCAGTGGAGTCACTAGGCCTTCTGAAGCTAATGATAGGCAGGGTTCTTGTATTGATAATGCCTTCATTAAGACTGTGGTTTTGAGTGCCCAGTCTTTTAAGGTTACTAATGTTTTTAACGATCATTATCCACTGTTTATACAAATCAAAAACAAAACAAGTAAACCAACTAAAGACAGTTTCAACTCTTTTTTAAATTATAAGAAACTCTTTAAAGAAGCTAATAAAATCAATTGGGAAGTCATACTTAACATACAAGAACCAGATAGTGCTATTGAAAGACTGGTAGATTTAATTAAATTAGCTACAAATAAATCAACTACCTATATAAAAAAAGGAAAAAATAGGAATACTGTAAGAAACAAGTGGATAACGAAGGGAATTATTAGGTCATGTAAAACTAAGGAATTTTTATATAGATTATGGAGAAAGAATCCTATAAATGATCAGCTCAAGCTAGAGTATAAGCAGTATGTTAAAGTACTGAACAAAGTAATCAAAAATGCAAAATATAGTTACGAAAGTAAAATAGTAGAACAGAAACTTAACAACACTAAGCAATTATGGGATTTTGTTAAAAGTAAAATTAATAATAAGAATAATAAAACGAATAATGACATTGAATATTTGATTGATGAGGGTAAAAAATTGGATACAAAAGAAGATATTGCTAATCACTTGAATAACTTTTTCGGTAATGTTGGTTCCACTCTGGCTAAAAAAATTATAAAGCCCAAAAATGCTGAACTTATAGGGATACCTGAGAATGACAAGACTCTCTATATCTACCCAACAGATAGTAATGAAATTAAAAAAATCATAACTCAAATGAAAGACAAAAGTGGGGGTGGGGATGGTATTAATGTTAGAACTATAAAAATAATTAGGGACTATATTGCTGGGCCATTGGAACATGTGTTTAATAAATGTATTCAGTTAGGGACTTGGCCTAACATATTGAAATCCGCCGTTATTGTACCTATATATAAGGCTGGTGATAGGCATTGTGATACTAATTATAGACCGATCTCTCTTATATCTAGCATTGCTAAAATTCTAGAGAAAGTAATTCATTTTAGGTTGTATGGTTTTGCCTCAAAATGTAAATTAATATCTGACAAACAGTTTGGTTTTGTAAAGGGTAGAGGCACAAAGGATGCTTTAAATTATGTTTTGGATGTTGTTTACAGAAGTTTAGATAAGAGTAAACCGGTACTTGCAACTTTTTTGGATCTTGCTAAAGCCTTTGATACGGTAAATCATGATATACTATTGGAGAAATTGAATAAATACGGTATAAGGGGAGTGGCTCTAAATTTATTTGAAAGCTATCTGTCAAACAGAAAGCAAACTGTTAAATTGTCAAATTACTGCAGTCAGCCTGTAACTGTAACGCACGGAGTTCCCCAAGGCACAATCCTTGGGCCATTGTTGTTTGTATTGTATATCAATGATTTGCTGCTTCAACTGCCGTCAGAAACTATAGTATCCTATGCTGATGATACTGTGATATTATGTGCTGAGAATTCATGGAAGAAAGTGCAAGAAAGAATGAACAATTCGCTTATGCGTGTTGATAAGTGGCTGGCACTAAATCAGTTATCTCTAAATATATTAAAAACAGTGTATATAGCTTTTGGAGTATATTGTGATAGTGTCCCTAATCAATTGGACATAAAAATAAACAATCACCAAATAAAAAGAGTGGAGAGTTGTAAGTACTTAGGTATTTATATTGATTATAGAGTAAGATGGGATATTCACATTGAATATGTGGTCAGGAGGACTAAATATTTATTATTTATATTCACAAAGTTAGCTAAGCTAATGCATCCAAGATCGCTGCTGAGTGTCTATTATGCTTTCTTTCATAGTATATGTAACTATGGAATCATAGCCTGGGGAGGCGCATATAACAACGTCAAATGTACCTTGGAATCTCTTCAAAAGAGATTACTGAAAATAGTCCTTAAGGGTGACATGAATCTCCCTGTTCCACTGAAATTAGAACAGTCCTTTATTTTTGAGTCGCTTTCATTTCATTACGAGGATCTAAAAAGGAACTATATGCAATCTGAAAGCATAACAAGAAACAAATCTATCAACTTACCAAAAATAAATCGAACTTTATTCACTAAAAGTAGTTACTTAACTGCAATCAAGACTTTCAATAAACTTCCCAATAAATACAAAACTTTGAAGTACAATAATGAAACAGTCAAAAAAAAAATAAAAAAGTGGGTAAGGTATAATGTTGCAAGTGTATTGTTATTGTAATAAGTCACTTATTAACAACCAGTAACTAGTAACTACTAGCTGATTATTTTATTGATTTTTATTAAATAATACTCCCCTGTATGAATAGCATTTTTGTATGCATTATTTTGGCACATTATATGTGTCTATAGTTCCTAAGTTAGGTTAAGTGTATCCAGTCCTATGTATAGGTAACTTTGATTACCTCTATAGGTTTTGAAATGTAAAACATTGTAAAATTTACTGGAATAAATAAATAAAAAAAGAATCTTGGCCTCCGCATTTCTCTTCCAATTTCATGAAATGCTAGAGATCATCAAATCTTTGTCAGTATCTGAAGAATTCGTCATTTTCATCTTCTTCTGCTCCTCTATACTCGACATTTGGCGGACGTCTGCCGACCATGCAAATTCAATGCGCGGCTGATGTTGATATTCTGATTCCGAGTAGACCGGTCCGAGTCGATCCAGTGCGCGTCCTGCTCAATTCATTTCCAAAAGCAAACCCTGTTAGTCAAAAAGTGCCTACGGGGTGACAAGATACGTGTCCCTCAGCACTCTACTAGGATGTGTGTCAACTTGTAAGAAAAAGTATAGAACCTTCTGCATTTACTTTCTGTCTGGCAATAAAGAGAATAAAAGGTATTGTTCGAGGTATTGTTGTAAAAATGATGCTGAGAAATCGCCAGATGGTAATCACAGTTCAAAATTGAGTTTTCCGCGAAAAATTCTGTGGACTTTTCAATTGGGGTGCAGGCATTAAAACCACTTATAGTCACATTAAGTCCCTATCTCAGGGTCTATAAGTAGTAGGTAGCTCTTTATAAACTTATTGGATATTTTTTGTATCATGCAAAAGCCCTTCAAAAAGCCTGCAAACAGCAATCAGTTTTGAATTTTGATAAAAAGACTTTTAAATTTCCTGTTTTGAAAACCAAAATAGCACCTTATTTTCATATAAGCCCTGACTTTTATTCCACCATTGGACTGCTAAGTTTAAGTTAGTATAAACCTGAAATTCTTACCGTTTTAAATTGTCATCACTCTCATCTATAGTTTCGACAATACATTCTGTTGTATCATAAATGTAATGTAAAAAATAATTTCCAAATTTAATTCCTCCGAGTCCAATAGCTACAAGACAACAGTAAATATACCATGTAAATTCTCTTGGAGGAAAATACTGAAAAAGCAAAAATAAATCATTATTTTATGCATCAGGAATGGATTAATTTAATTTGGGTCAAGGTTTTGAATTGTTTTATAATTTTTTACTACCTATATACATTTCTTCTAGGTGAACGACTAAGATATAAGTAGGTTTTTAATGAAGCCCTTGCTTATACTATTCCAAAAAAAAATAGTTTCTTATTTTCTTTAAAAGTATATGCTTCCTTGAAACATTAAATTGAAAGAATATTGACTGCAGTCTCTAAACTCACCATATAACAAGTAAAAGGTGACAACAACAAGAACAGCCAAACATAAAGGTGAAAAGTGTTACAAAAGAGATCTTGACTGGGGTCATAAAACCAACCCCCTGTTAATGAAGCCCAAACGCCTTGGCGCAAAATTTCCAATGTTTGAGACCCCATGGATTGTTCTTCCCACATATTATCAGGTCCCAGACATGACACCGGGCAGTTTGCTCCACATTACCAATCTTCTGCAGTTCGAAAAAGTGCTATGGAATAAAAAAATATCACTTCGTTTTGAGGTCGATTCACTTACACATTTTTTTTTCAGATGAAGAATACAATATTCGGAAGAAACTTTTCACACAAATATGTTGATTCATTACTA